TTGCTCGTTCTCTCCCTTGCCTCAATTTACGGGCGTCAGGGAGCCACTAATAATACGCGGGAGACTCCCGGAGCTTCCGGGAGAGGTGGGACGTCTGCTTCCTCCTATGGGCTTACGCTTCTGCCACAATTCTGCTCGTGCAAGATCATATTTTGAGCGTGCTAAAGGGCATTTCGCGCGATCTGAGTTTTGTGGAGAAAATGTTTGTCTTGCAAAGAAGAAAGTATTTCAAGCGCACGAAAATCAATTTTGCATTTAAAATAAGTTTTTGGATTTGTGCAGACCTCTTTTGTGCGTGCAATGTTTCACTAACTTGCTCACCTGATGCCTGCCCTCAGTGCTCTCTAAATGCCAAACGGCTTGCTTGCTCAACACAACCCAGCGTTAAAGTTTAAAGTGAAGTGACACGTGGCCAAGTATGGTGACTCATACTCGGAATTAGTGCTCTGCATTTATCCCATCCAAAGTGCACACACACAGGCTTTGTAGACAGATAAGTTGACTCTTGAAGGACCAGCACCACATCCTCTTGTACCACTGTTTGAAGAATTTATCTTCCAGAATCTGGCAGTAAGTTTTGGGAGTTCATTTTTAGTTCATCTCGAGATTTTATCTGTAGAAGATAACCTGCTTAATAATTATGCACACCTGAATAGAAGGCGTTTTTCACTTCCAACCTTCATGAACAATAATATATAGGTTATAAGTGATTAAATACAAGATTAATAGCAGTTATTAAGATTGATGTTGTTTGGAATTGGTTAAATGTGCTTGGAAAAAAATAAAATCAGAATATCAACTTGCATAATAATTATGCATGCACTGTACAGTATTTTCCCTCTTCCGCTGTCATCAGCAATGCAAGGAATGTTGTGATTGGTTGTCAAGGCAGCCAATCAGAATTTAGCAGCCTCGTCTCTGATTGACTGGAATTATGGCATATTGTAACTTCCAGAATCTGGCAGTAAGTTTTGGGAGTTCATTTTTAGTTCATCTCGAGATTTTATCTGTAGAAGATAACCTGCTTAATAATTATGCACACCTGAATAGAAGGCGTTTTTCACTTCCAGCCTTCATGAACAATAATATATAGGTTATAAGTGATTAAATACAAGATTAATAGCAGTTATTAAGATTGATGTTGTTTGGAATTGGTAAAATGTGCCTGGGAAAAATTATAATCAGAATATCAACTTGCATAATAATTATGCATGCACTGTACAGTATTTTCCCTCTTCCGGCTGTCATCAGCAATGCAAGGAATGTTGTGATTGGTTGTCAAGGCAGCCAATCAGAATTTAGCAGCCTAGTCTCTGATTGGCCGGAATTATGGCATTTTGTAAGGCTGGGTTGTGAAACGTTGCACGCACAAAAGAGAAGGACTGCACACATCCAAAAACGTATTTTAAATGCAAACTTGATTTTAGTGCTCTCGAAATACTTTTTTCTTTGCAAAACGAACATTTTCTCCACAAAACTCAGATCGTGCGTGTGCAAAATGCACTTTTGTGCTCAAAATATGATCTTTCGCGCGCAGAATTGTGGCAGAGATCTAATCCTATACACCCTTCAAGGGCGCAAAAAAAGCCGTTTGGAATTCGCCCTATTTATGCGAGTAAAAACAAACTCTAGCTGAATCCTGTTTAATCTAGCTGCTATCTTTGTTGAATTTGGAACATGAACACGCAGCAGCCAGAAATACAGCTTGGGTGAACCCGAAATAAAATTAACAATAAAATAAAATATGAATAGAGACGGGACTATCATCCATGTATGAATATAAACAGTTGGTGGCGGTATGTGCCTATGGTGCGGAATACGCCAAAAATTCCAAAGAAGAAGAAGAAGAATTTGAAACAGGCGCTTATCGGACAACCCTCAGTGGTGGAGCGGGGACCTATAATAGTGACCAATATGGCGACTCACAGTGGAAGGTCGGTGTTATTCGTGTGCTTGGGTGAGAAAGTTTATGAAATATCACCAGACCTTCTTGGATTTGATTGTGATGTTTAAACGGGCTGCTGATAAGTCAACATTACAGGTGGAGGAAACGGTCATTGTTTCAGTCAGTGTTCGCTGTTTCACCGGCCTCATTCAGTGAATGAAAGCTGTCATCGTGAGCTCACTTACCGGCATATTGCAATCACACGCATATCTCATCCGTTCATACATTAAACACATCGCGTTAATATTGGCTTTAATGACATAAACTGTCTATATATATTTTTCATCATTGGTCATCCATATGTTTATTCTCTAAGCACTAGTTTGGCCTTTTTCCACTTTCCTCAGTTGAGTCATATTGCTAAACAGATAAACTAACCAAGTTTCGAGAGCTTTCTTATTTTCATAATGGCATTAGGATATGTTTTGATATCATTTTGCATAAGATGTTATATTTTATTGCCTGTGTATTAGTTTTTGTTTTGTTTTGTTGTTTTCAGCATGTAATAAACAACAAAACCATAATCATAAGAGTGTGTAAAATGTATAAATATACACTATTGTTAAAAAGTTTGAGGTCATGCTTACAGTGAAAAAAATCTATGTCTATGTTCTTTTCAAGTTTCTATTCAGCAAACAATTCTGAACAAATAAATGTATCACAGTTTTTCAAAAAATAAAATAAAATAAAAAATGTATCGGCACAACTGTTTTCAACATTGATAATAATAAGAAATCATACTTAAGCACCAAATCAGCAATTTTATACTGATGGTGGTGTGTACTGTGTAGATACATTTACAAAATGTATAAAGCAAATAAGAAAAAATAAAGAGTATAATAAGATCTGTCTTGAAATATACAGAACAATTGTGCTTTGCTATGTTGTTTGTCAATTAAAAAAAAAAAATTAGATATTGTGTATGTTTGTGTATATGGCATTTACTCAGAGTTAGACAGAATAATTAGGTGTCATATAATCCTTGTCTACTAAAATAATAAATTTCTTCCCTTTCCTCAATACCCAGGGAATATCTGCAGATCCCCAATCGCTGAGGCTGTTTTCTGGAAAATGGCCACAGACAATGGGGTGGTGAACAAGGTAAGTCGATGCATGCGATGCTACTTTTACTGAATGATGTATACATTAGCATTTTCTCCCGGCTTACTAAGACTCACAACTAATAGCATGTGCTTCAGTGAATTGTGAATTCAGTGCACTGTGCATCACCTTCTGGATGAAAGTAATTGGCTGGTCTTGAAATTTGTCAATATTAAGTGTTATAGCAGATATGTAACAAAGCGACATCTGCACTCCAGTGCAAAAGCACTTCATAAATATTTTGAAATACCTTTAGCCTCGCACCTCATCTACCCTTAGAGTATCAGTATCACGATCATGTTACGCTTGCTCTTTTGGATATTTGATATTTCTGAGGTTGCACAAGATGCAATCGTAAAAAAATGTTGCTATTCAAAAAGTTTGACAAGAACAATAAAAGTCAAAACCTTAGCCTCATGAGCCAAAATACAAAGAAATGGTGTCAGATTTATTCCAGCCTTAAACTTTAAGGCCAGAAATATTCGAATATGAATGCTTGGCCAACACGGTCCCATTGTACATGCTTAATTAGCATTTTTGCGGCAGTATCAAACCGCTATATTGTAACATAGCTCCAATTTCTTCCAAAAAAAAATCTGTTTGTGTGTGTTTATAAATATTTATGTGTATTGCTGTGATCATCATAATGCTTTATGTATGTGTGTCTTCAGTGGAGAATAGACAGTGCCGCCACATCCACCTATGAGATCGGAAACCCCCCGGATCACCGCGGCCAGGCCTGCATGAAGCGACACGGCGTGTCTATGAGGCACGTGGCGCAGCAGGTACGGTGGGGTCCTGATTAGCACTCGAAGCTAGAACCGTGTTCTCTGTGTGTGTTACAGTGGGTTATAGACTCTGGTGCCACCTCAGATTGGAATACTGGCAGCTCTCCTGATGCCTGTGGTCTGGCCTGCCTCAGGAAACATGGCATAGAGACAGATCACAGGGCACAACAGGTACTGCAGATGTGGGATTTTGTATGTTCCAGAATGAGTGCAAGAAGCTTTCAGCACAGTATTGTTGTACAGTACGATATAGACAACATATTTATCATCATTTCATGAACTTCAGTGAATGTCGCTCATATGGAAACCTCAAACATACACAAATAAAGGCAGTTTTGGCAGGAGAGCTTGTGTGAGCGTTATCTAATCACAATTTACAGCCAAAGGCACTTCATCTTTGTCACACACCATAGACATTTGATCTTTTTCTGTATTTTTAACTTCTTGCCTATAAATCGATTTTGACAGGCATCCACTGTATCTACTGTTGACCCCTCTTCTCCATCTCCCTCTGTGTTTTCTACTATTTTTCATCTTTCTTGTACATTTCCTGAGGACAATTCTCCACAGAGTTTATTGTTTTCAGTTGGCTTCCAAATAGTGTATGTTCTGTATTTTGATAAAAAACAGTTGCTCCACAATGTATCTTCAACGTATCCTTCATAGCACATACATAAATCACAAAGACATAGTTTTAAGGGAGCAAATCTTTCCAGGGAAGCCATACTGGTGCAGGACAGGAAATGTAACTGTCCCACAAACAAACATAGCAGCTTTTTCTTTGTTCTTTTTATTTGTTAAATTCTGTTGGATAGCTAACTATAACGATAACTATATTAGGTATATTAACTTTGTTCGCCATGAGCGCCCACTGCTGTTATATTGTCTTTAGGTTTAATTGCTCAAGCACTTTAAAGTTGGTGGATTCTGATTGGCTGTAAATATTTTTTATCGTTCATCAGCTGGAAAGTCATTCCAACTATGTCGCTTCTTATAGCTGTGCTGTGGATTTTCCTATTTTCAGAGATTTAGAACAATTGTTAAAACTTTATAGTCATTGTCACTGCAAAAGTGCCTTTAGTAGTGACTCTTTAGCAGACTATATAGTTATGCCAGTAGGTGGCGACAAATGATTCTATTTATGAGTGAGTCATTGAATCATTCACTCAAAACACTGATTTGGTCAGGTATGTGACAAATACTTTCAGTTTGTGAAGAACAGTACAGCAACAACAGTACAAGAACAGACAAAGTAGCCTAACTCAAAATAGTGTTCCCAAAAATGGGAAAGGGTGCCGAATTACTAGAGGTCACTGCTCATTAAATGTGCTTATGAGAACACGCTTGGAAAAAGGTATTTGCTACTTTGTATCTCAAAATTCTGACTTTTTTTCTGAGAAGAAGCCAGAATTTTGAGACGAAAAGTCAGAATTTAAACTCGCAGTTATGAGAAAAAAGTTTAAAAAAAACATGTAGACAAATGTCACAGTAATCTTAATTTCATGGCGGAAACCAAAAAACTGAATTGCAAAATGTAAACTTGGAAACTCGGAATCGCAATAAAAAAGTTCAGAATTCTAAGCTGTTGCAATTACCTTTTTTTTTATCAAATTTTTTTTTTCAGTACATTATTGTGACTGCAGTAAATAAACATAAAACAACTTTAATGTTACCCAAGTTCACTCTGGTGATGTCTGAACTTATTTTATTTCATAGAAAGCACTTTCCTCTGATGTGAACAGCTACAGACATACAGCAGGGTCACTAAATCTGACAAGGTCTCATTAGAGGTTACGGAAATCCATAACCCACTCTATTTCATGCACAATGGCTTCAGTGTTATCCATATTCACACTGATGTCTAATCTCCTTGGAAAAAATCCTTTTGGTCTGATGTGAACAGCTGCACACATAGAGCTGGGTCATCAAATCTGACAAGGCTGCATTAGTGGTTATTGAAATCATTACAGTTTGACCATTACTCTTATACATGCAATACTAAAACACTACACATTGTAATAATGATATAAAAGCATAAGCATTGGCCAACTGATTCACTGGTGACCCTGCCGTAAATCTACAGCTGTCTTTTTTTTTTCAGAGCAATATGCTTTCTAGGATATAAAGAAGTGTAGATATCACTAGAGTTAATTTGGATAACAATAAAGCCATTGTGTGGGAAATAGAGCAGAATAACAGATTTTGCCCAGTTTCACTTGATACGAGACTTCAGCTGCTCAACAGTATATTATATTATATTATATTGTTCCAAAACAGTCTGAATGATAGAAACATTATTTCATGAAGTAAATGAACCTGTTTTACCACACCACTTATTTGATGATTTTCAACACTTTTTTGTTCCTTGTTGGTTTTTTAAGCAAATCCCAACCTGTGTGGCACATGCAATAGCTTCGTTGAAACTTGTCAAATGTTAAGTTGGCCGCTGCATCACCTTGCCTGAAATATACATGGTTTGGCCTATTACTGTCAGACTTAGAGAAACTCCTAACTCGCGTGCTTTCCACCCACATTTTCCAGCCATCAGTCAGATATTCCAGTCATGTGGGCAGGCTTTAGTTCGGCCTTCAGAGGTCAGGTTCATACGAGGCTGTACAGAGCTGAGCTCACACTAAAGACATCTTTGTCCCGTTGACCTCACACAAATCACAGCCCCCAATTATACAAGAAAAAAAACGTTTAGCCAAGGCAGGCGTTTCTTGTGCAACCCCCCCCATTTGTGTCGTTTATGATTTCCAGTTTTTGCGCTTTGTTGTTTTTGTAAATTGAAAACATATTTCTATTATGACTGTCTCTGTGCAGTAACGTCCCAAATGAATCATGTGCTCTTGCTCAATATGTGCACACACTTACTTGCAGCCACAGATGTGCTTTGATCCGTTTCTTAACTCCGCGTCTTGAGTGAGGGGAGCGAATGTTCGAACAGACAAAGACGGCTCGTCTACTCGCTCTCTGGCCCTTTGCTCATGTTCCCTGGAGCTTGTCCAAGCCAGCGCCATGCACTTTTGGCAGCAGATTTGCCTCTTTCGGTGAAAGACAAGAAGAATTAGAGAGGAAAATGGAGAAAGAGGGGTGGATGTGGGTCGAAACCACTGGCCCATGCTTAACGGGTCACTGCTGGACAATGTGATTGAAGTGTTACACGCGTTACTCATACGGTCTTTCTGTTTGTTAGGTCACCAAAGACGACTTCATGACTTTTGATCACATCCTCTGCATGGACGAAAGCAATTTGAGGTATGTGCAGGGGTTCAGTTGGTGTTTTAGAGGTGAGAAAACCATAAATCTGGTTATTCTGGTGTCTTTTGTAAGATAAAACATCCTCGCCCAACCCCAAAAAAGCATTACCTTAAAATTTGTATTTTTCAGTATATTATGATATATTAAAAAGAAAAAAAATATTTATTTTTATATATTCAAAATATATATTCAATTTATATAATCAAAATAGAAATCTTTTCAAGCAATTTGAAGGGATAGTTCTCCCAAAAATGAAATTTCTGTCATTAATTACTCACCCTCATGTTGTTCTAAAGTTGTAAGAGCTCCGTTCATCTTCAGAACACAAATTTAGATATTTTTGATGAATTCTGACAGCTCTCTGACCCTCCCAGTGATGTAATTAACATGATCAAGGTCCAGAAACGTAGCAAGGAGATCGGTAAAATAATCCATGTGACATCAGGGGTTCAACCGTAATTTTGCGAAGTACATGAATACTTTTTGTACACAAAGAAAACAGAAATAACGACTTTATTCAACAATTCGTCTCCTCCGCATCACCCTAGCACCACTTTGGAGAGTATCGACTGAATGCAAACAGCGTATGCTGTTCTGTGTCAGCTGCGCCACATGGATACGTTGTTTACGTTTTGATTTAAACGAAATCAAACACAATGTTACTGTTTTTTCTGTATTTTTGATCAAATAAATGCAGCCTTGATAAGCATAAGAAACTTCTTTCAAACATTAAAAATCTTACTGATCCCAAACTTTTGAATGGCAGATAGATAAATGCTGCCTTTCAAAGAAAATAATACTTTTGTTCAGCAAGGACACATTAAATTGATCATAAGTGACAGTAAACACATTTTTACATTGACACATACGATTTCTATTTCAAATAAATGTTGTTCTTGTGAACTTTTTATTCATCAAAGAATCCTGAAAAAGGGTATCATGGTTTCCACTAAAATATAAAGCAGCACAACTGTTTTCAAAATTGATAATAATAAGAAATGTTTCTTAAAAAGCAAATCAGCATCACAGGAACAAATTACATTTTAAAATCTATTAAAATGGAAAAGTTATTATTTAATTGTAGTAATATTTCACAATAATACTGTTTCACAGTGGGTATGTATGCATGTATTAATTAATTAATTAATTTATTTAACATTTTCAAAATGTGCTTTTTTATATATATTCCAAGATCCATTTATTATTACATATTATAGCTTTGTTTATATCTATATTACTCAATATTACTTGCTGCCTACAACCATGATGTGTTTCTGGCATTTTCTTGTTTCATCCTCCAATGAGATATTTTTATGGAACGTTTGATGAGAATTTAAGGAAAGTGGGTTTGCTTCTCATTGTGTTTACTAGTGCAAAAGCGATGAGCAGCAATGAGGCCCTTGACATTTGCTGAGTGTAGGAATTGACTCCCAGCTTACTCCTTAGCCTTAGTCTTTCTGACATGAGAATGATGATTAATGTCGAGCGAAACTGATTAAATGAATTATACATTACGTGGATCTGTCAACACTGCAGAATGCATCAAACATTCCGAGTCTGATATGGGTAAGACACTGAATTAAAGGCGGCAGGAGTGTCTTTTTTCTGCCGGA